AATTAATAAAAGTTATGTACAAAATGACCAACAAAAAAATGTTAGTCCAACAACAAAATTGACAAAATGAAATACCTTGTACTAATAATAACCAAAAACCAACATCTTCTATCAATGTCAAAATCTAATTACTTAAATTTGAAGTTGGGGAGTTCCACGGTGTCGATACCTATCATACCATTGAAATGTCCCAGAATATAAGCTTTAATATGCATGAAACGTCCATGTTGCATGTTTGGTTGGCAAGACATTCCACAACCCTATTGTGTTTACAACAAATTTAGGAAATTTTCTTTTTGATGTGACCAGAAGCCACCTTAGTTTTAGTGAATAAACATTGTAAACTCCAATATTTTTAAAGAAGATGTCGTGCAATCTTTTTTAATTGGTGGCCAATGTAATATCATGAAGAATGGCATGGAGGTTGGCAAAAGTGTTCGTGCAAGTGCCAATCCTATTTTAGAAGCCGATGACCAGATTTCCATGGTAGTCAAAACCACACTACCTGTCTTAACCCACCCATGTGACATACGTAAATTGCCCTTTCAATTATTCATATCAAGTTTACTAGAAGTATAGAGCAACTCCAGGTGATTTTTAACTTTCAAATAGCCTTGTTACAAGAAAACTTAATAGCTATAAGCTTTGAGTTATTTCTTTCCGATCAAATGAACCGAAAGATCAACAAATGAAGTAATGTAAATGATGTGCTTTATTTAATCAACACGACTGCCGTATTTTTATTTTAAATATTATATTAAAATTTTATATTTTCTTCAAAGTATTACAATAAATCTTTGTTTATATCAAATTAAAAATTGATTTCAATTCAATTTGTTATTTTCAACGCACAAAGATTGCTCAAAAACCATATCGAAACAATATTGCTCAATAAGATACTATACAACATAAGATTACTCCGTGGTTCATAAACAAAAGAATAAAAAAGTCTCATAAATATTTTACTGGTATTTTTTCTCTAGTAATTATTAATATCTAGAGTTGTTAAATGGACCGAGTAGCTTGTGAGCCAAGCTCGACTCAATTTGTTTATGACTCAACTCAAGTTATTTATAGAGATAAACAAGCTGAGTTCAAGTTCTCAAATTCTTAATTTTTTAAACGAGCTCGAGCTCAGCTTGCGAATAGTTAAGTAAGCTTATTAGTAATGGGATATTTTTGTCATTTCATATATTAATTTTATTTTTAACTTTTTTAATTTTCATTTCTAAAATTTTAGTTTTCCGGTACTCTAACTTCCCACCACATCCTAATTCATATGGATAGTGCTAACCCTTATTTTTTTTCTTTTTTTTTCTTCCTCAATTTTCATGAAGCCATCACCGACGTCAAAATAGTTTTCTTTCGTAATTTTCTAAAATTCTTCCACCATATTTGAAACTTTCACAAATATAATTTTTTAGTTCTATTTTTAAAGGAGGTTGAACCAAAACACCAGAGACCACAAACTACTTAATAAATCTTATATTGGTATTACTTTTTAGTTCTTACCCTTTTTATTTATTGATAGATTTATTATTATTATTATTATTATTATTATTATTATTATTATTATTATTATTATTATTCGTGTATATATTTATCTATATTAATATATTTGCAGTTTGTTTAGGTTTTTCTAATTATTTTTCTACTCTATTGTTTATCTTCTATAAAATAGGTGATTTAGTTAGTATGATCTTTTTTATTTGTTTTGTTTTGTTATGGAGTCTTTTTTATTTTCTAATTAAAGTTATTATCTATATTTAGATATATAATGCTTTATTAGGAATGGATTTAAAAAAGTAGTTTAATACTTAAAATAAATGATAATTTAGAAGTATTTTATTGAATATTTATTTGGTTATATACGGTATCATAATTAGAAATAATAAAGATAATATTTATATATTTTTATTATTTTCAAAAATTTTAATTAAATTTTCATGGCATATGATATTTTTCAATTAAATTGTGGCATATCCATACAAATTTAAGAATTTTTTATTATTTGTTATATTTTCAACTCAGAAACATATAATTTTGTTGACCATTGAAAATATATTTTATATTTGTATTTTTTATATATTACTATTGGCTCTATATATTTATTTATGATTAATTAAAATTTAATTTTTATTTATTATTTTCTTTTTAAAGTATGCACAATTTTTCATTCTATAGGTCATCATCAACTCCTACAATGAAACAAAACAATGAACATATGAAACACTTTAATTTGATTTAAGAAATGAATGATGAAATGAGTCAAGAACAGTTGGAAATTTCGAAAGATAAGAATAATTCAAAAGATAAAAATATAGATAATAAAGTTGTTCCTTTTAAGTAAAAACAAAGAAAAAAAATTTAGTTTGGAATAAAATCACTCGAAGATAGGAAAACAAAGTGCAATATAATCTATAATCATTGAAAATGTCATTTTTTCTAATAGTACAAAAAATATTGTTGTTCACTGAATAATCAACTAATGGTATGATTATTACTAACTTTTGTTATGGTCATGCCAAAGGTTCGAGAACTTGTATCTCATATGGTGCTCACTCATTAGTGTTTATTTTCTATGATGGATTATATTGTTTTTAAAGCTATGTCTCCATTTTATTAAAAAAAAAAATCTTCCAATAAATGGTTAAGAAAGACTGTATTAGTACTTGGTACTTATGAAATAACAAAAAAATTGAAATTGTTGTTGAATGGTGCAAGTGGGATTAGTATTACTATTTATATATGGAAATCTGTCAAAAAATTCAATATATGATTTTGACTGCACACTTTATTGATTCCAATTGGTGCTTCAAAAGCGAGTGCTAAATTATTTTAATGTCTCTCCTCCCCACACAGGAATTATTACAGTTGATGTTTAACCAAATGTTATATTGATAAGGGAATTGAGAATAAAGTTACAAGTATTATTGTAAATAATGCTTTTATATAATGATGTATGCATCAGAAGTCTTAAGTATGATTTTCCTCTTAAAAAAGATTAAGTATTGATAATTTTCATATTCAATGTTGTGTGCACATACTTAATCTTTTGGTACAAAATGGTCTTGATCAGCTTAGTAATATAATTTATGTTGTTAGAAATGTCATAAATATTTTAATAATTCTAAATCTAACTTATCCAATTTGTCAAGTTTAAAAGCAATTACAATTGTCATTTAAGAAGCTCATTTTGGATTGTTCAACAAGATGGAATAGCAAATTTTTTATGTTGACTTCAAGTTTAGAGTTAAATGATGTTTTTCCTAAATGTGCAAAAATATATCATAGATTTTGTTATAATCCATCTGAATTAGCAAAGAAAAAGGTGGAAGAAGTATCTGAATTTACAGTGATATTTCATAAAATTAGTAATATGATTTATGGATATGAATATCCATCGGCTAACATTTTTCTTGTGGAGTTGTATGGGTTTAAAGAGTTGCTAAATAAAAAGAAAGATCGTGTTCAATGACAATTACGTTTACAAAGTTTGATAAGTATTGAAAGGATATCAATATTTTGTTATCACTGGAAGCAATTTTAGATCCAAAGTACAAAATAGTTCTTATTAATCATACTTATCTAATGATTTTTTGTGAAAATGCAAAAGAAAAATTATGAATTGTATAATGAATATGTGAATAGTCACATGTTATCAATCTGATCAACAAGGTACTGGTAAAAAAAAGTTTCATATGCTTTTGAATGAAATTGACAAAAATCTACAACAATCAGATTTGGATATTTATTTGGAAGAAAGTAGATATATTTGTAATGCAAATGCAACTTCGGATGTTCTTTTATATGAAATTTGGCAAATTTATTGATTCATATTAAAAATTTATGTAATATATTTGTTAGATTATTTACAGCTTTAGAAAATCACACTTTATTCATGCAATTATACACTATCAGTGTTGATTCAACAATAATACATTACTCGTAAATTTGAATAAAAAATTTATGCATTATATCATACTTAAATAAATGAATTGATTCAAGTTTTAACATATATTTTTTTGTTTCTGTTTTTATTACATATAAGAAGTGCTCAAAAAATTTACAAAAGTCTTATATACGAAGGTCAGACACTGTCAATAGCTTTGTTTTATTTTATATATAATCACTCATGGTACTAGCGGAATCAAATTTCTTTTAAAATTTTTATAACATTAAAATATTTAAATGTTTATTCATAAATTTTTTCCTCATTGTTTTATTGTAAATATTTAAATGTTTATTCATAATTTTTTTACTCATTGTTTTATTGTAATTATTTTTTCATAAAAATTTGTATCGTTGGTAAAAATATTAATATTTTATTAAAATAAATATATTAAAAAAACATTTATAATTCAAGTCGAGCTCAAGTCTTGCAAGCTGAGCTCGAACTTATAAGCGAACTAAATCGAGATTGTTCGATAACATATTTAAGTCGAGCTCGAACATCATATACTCAACTTGGTCACTCGTCTAACAACTCTATCAATATCACAATTGCAACAAAGAAAAATGCCCAGATGTATTTATTTCAGGCATCACTTCCAACAGGAATTGTGATTTGGACAATTTGACAATTTCCGAATAAAGTCAAACATAACTTAAAATCACAGTAATAATTCTATCAATGCTTTTGTTCACTTCACAATTGTTTTCAATTTTTCTAATATACAATCTCTCATTTTTTTCTTATAAAAAATAATATTGCATTCAACCATATGGGCACAACAATGATGATTTATTCGCTCATTCATTCATTTATTTATTTGTTTGTCTATGAAACTAATTTTGATAATTATTCTTGAATGAGAGTAATTTGATTGGGACTAACATTTGATTTTTGCTCTTAATTCTTTATAGCAAATTTGACAAAAGCAAATATAATAATCTTCCCAACGGCCAAACAGCAATATGATTGTTTTATTATTTCAACTTAAATCATAATCAATGATATTTCAAGTAAAATTCAAACCTAACACTATTCAAATATGAACTATCCAAAAGTTAAAATATCATTATCTGATCCCAACCCTAACTGTGAATGAGAAAGCATTCAATCATTCCCTCTATTTGCTTGGCAAATGAGTTACAAGAACAACTTTTAGGATCATTCTTGTGCACAAAATTAGAGACATTTCCATAATAAATTCTAGTTTCAACTCCCCATATAGAAACATTTCACACCATCTAGCCTAATATGTATACATGACATAAATATATAAGTTTAGGGTAAAAATGAAAGTAAACTGATCAAAAGATAATTTAATGAGAAACGACTTAACTTAAAGCAAAATAGGCTGTCTGCAGGATGCGGCAAGCAGAAACAAAGGTCCCCACAAGCAGGCAACTGCGAAGAACCAATTGCCTTGTCCTAGAGCTTATAGAATCAAACGAGTTCAAAGCTGCTTCCAAGATGGATTCACCGTCAAGATAATATACCTGATAATGCTTACAAAGTTAAAGGAAGAATGGATAATAATACATTGACCTGTTATTTAAATTCACAAATGATATAGATAGTTGCATAAATGGCAATTAAATAATTTACATAGGTTAAACAGATAATTATAGAATGCACAAATCCCCCCTTATAATAAGTGAATTACCACAGCAAGCAAAAAAGTGAACCAATGAATGGAAAGCCTTTACATTCTAATACCCAGATCAAACCATGTTAGAACAACCAATAATCCCATCACAACAAATCCTACTCGCATGTCCTTTTGCAACATTAGCTTTTCATATCGAGAACAATGACGTGATAGAAAAGGTCGGAAGGAATAGATGTACAAAGCAAAGAAGAGAATTTCAGTGAAACTCAAATTTAACTACAAGTAAACCTCTAAGTAAAGATTAGAACACAAAGACACAAATCATACAAGAAGATTAAATTTCCCTGCCATCAATGAATCCTTGCACAAAATGCAGACAAAACCAAGTATGCAATTTAAACAAACACATTTCTGAAGTGGCGGCACACAATTAGCATCATAAATCATGACTAAGGATTCCTTGCACTGTTATGTAATAAACAATAACATTCAATAGCTTAAAAGTGTTCACAGTAAGTTAAAAGGTTCGTTCACAAAGAACAGACAATATGTTAACAGGAAATGCTATCTCTCCGTAATATAATATACTAGTATTTGCCAACTTAACAGAGACTAGTACTAAAAATATATCAATTTTCAAATATAACTTTTCACCAGGCCTATGGAAGAACAAACTTTGACTGTCTCCAAAATGCTAATGTAGTAAGAGAATATGCAGTTGAACTTGATTGTAAGTTCCAATAGTTCAATAAGGGCGTTGACAGTAAGTTTTAAAACTTGAAAATTAAGCAGTTTTTAATCTAAGTATAGAGAATCGAAGCTATTTATTTTGCATTAATGTTAATACAAGACATTTACTTCTTCAACGAAATTTATGATCCTAGAAGAAAATGAACAAAAGGTGATGCAGCATTAAAGTGCTGTCAGGTCATACGACAATTTTCAACTGCCTATTTCCCTAATTTGAAGGCATTCAACTTTACAGATAATGGCAAAAAAGACACTACAAAATCCTGCTGCAATTAGACAATGTTAAAAACACAAAGCATAATGCGTTCATGTTGGAAACTGTTGAAACATATATATCTTCCAAGTAATAGTATCTTATAATATTTAAAAATAAATATAGAAATAACAATAAACAAAGATTGTAAGACATTAAGCGACAAACCAATCAGAAAGCAAAGCAAGATGAAACAGTTTGAAGTCAAGGAGAAAGACGTTCTATATGGAGTCACTCAAACTCTACAATAAGAAAAACACTAACAAATATCTTCCAGTAAAAGATCAAGCAAGTTTCATAGAATTTAAAAGCAAACATATGTTACACATATTAATCAGTTATCAATTGGGTTAGCAGTAAATAGTTTTACGACATACCGGAAGGCTGTTCAGAAGCGCAACTAATAAGGAGACATGGAAGGCACACGTAAGAATCTTCTCCAATTTATTTGGAATCCATGTGGCAAAGTGAATTGACCGAGGGAGATACGAAGTCATATGGATTGAATGTGACATAGAGATCAGATCCCCAACAAAGACAAAAGTTTGAAGGCAGCCTTTCCCTCTGCTGCTAGAGTTTCCTTCATCTGGGTATAAACTTTCAGTGTCGCGGGAGAGACATTTTAGTCTCGAATATGTTATCTCAGCCCATCCTTGACCAGAAAGCTGCACTGGCATCATGCATGATTCAACCTGTATCCATAAATGTCACTGTCATTGGCCATATAGCAGACAGTATTTTCACGGGTAAAATATATGCTCCTTGTGTTTTTACATAATGCACGAAATTTAGTTTATAAAATTTAGTACATACATCACAATCATCTCAAGTCAGGGAAAATCTGTACAGAATCTTTATTATATTAGGAATTGTGTGCAAATACTCTGGATTGTCGGAATTTGAATTTTCCCTAATGGAAGAATAGATTTTGGAAGTGTTTCATTTTAAGGAGAAGAAATACTTTTCTGCAGAATAACTTTTGGATGTGATGGGAGAAGAAATATTTCTCTATAGATTCCATAATGTAAAGATGGGAACGTTAACAGAAACATCTGAGATTCTGTGCGCTGTTTTGGTTAACAGGGGGCTGATATGCAATAAACTTTTACATAAGATATTTTAGATTTGATTGCCCAACCAAATTTCTCCCAACACGATTTTCAATATATAAAATATATATTTTATTCTCTTACAAAACTCAATATTCAATACAAAATATTATTCTTTATATTACTGACACAATTTCCTATACCTCATATCAAATAAATATCTCAAACAAACAAACACACCCTTTATTTGTTTACATAAAACCACAAATACTATAGACATAATTTACCAATACAGTTAATGTCTATCTAACATAGCAGTACACAAGTGATCATAATAGCAGTCCATAAGTCATCATATTTTAGCATGCTTAGTATCCTGACAAAGGAAAATTACCTGCGAACAGATGCTGCCACTTTGATTTTGTGGAGTTTTCTCATGATTACAGGCGCATCTCCTAAGCTTTACAACATTATTAGCATCCAAACAATGAACATTTTCTTGAGCTGAGTCAGCTGACTGCTGCTTGTTCATATAACTAACATCATCGGCCCCACTCACAACAAGACAGGAAGCAGGTGTAAATGCTGTAAGGTCACTAGGACAATATGTCTGATTCCCTTCAAAGTGTGTGAGTGTACTCTCTTCAATTAAAGAATGAGGAATGCAATAGCCTTCCTCCAGTGTTCCTAACCCACTAGATAGGCCAGAGCTATGCGAGAGGGTCTGCTTGGTCAAGTCATTAATTATCTGCTTCCACTCCTCAGAGTTATGGATCCTGAAGTTATTCAATGAATGTATAATATCATGAGGTGACAGATAACCTGATAATGGTGAGACAGAGGGCACATCCAAAACCTGCGGAAGAGGGCAAATAATCCAAGATTTATCTGCAGCTACAAAGCTTTGGGGAATGATATAGCACCATAAAATACTTTGTTTTATACCAAGGGGGTTTCACCGTAGATATAAAATGGACTCAACAAGAAGGGAAGAAGGAACAAAGCCAAAGCGCATACTGCACAAAACTGTAACAAGTAACCGAAAATCAAATCACTTCCAGCATAATAAGGTTGCATTTCTAATGGAGGAAGTAGTATAGACACTTACAACGGCATTGTGCCAAACACCAGCACAGTATATGCGGAGAGAAGCCATCCTCGGTAATGCCAGTAATGATGTGTGATTAAAGGCCACCAAAGCTCCTGGAAATAATCCAGCCAAAAAGATAGCAAGATACTCCATTTTTACACCCTCACTACAATCAATAGAAGTGATATTAGCGTCTAAAACTTGCTCCTCTCAGTTCTGAGTGTGATACACTTAAATTAGTGTTTATATGGAAGTTGTGATACCATTTATCATTGGACTGAACAGAACATATTGGCAAAGTGCTCCTGAAAATTTTTTGAGTGAAAAGGACCCGGTTTAACTGGATCAGTTTTAGTAGTGTCTGTCAGAAAAGGCAAAGAAACTGCCATTTGAGATGGTGTGGCCGGAGAGTAAAAGATCAGATAATTTGCGCATAATAGCCTAAAGAAAGTAGCTCAGTGTTCCAGGTGAGCTGAAACTGCATTACGTGGGATTGGAGTTAAGAAAGAGCATCATAATTAAAGAGATGGGAATAGCAAATAGTAGTTAAATGGAATAGGATATAGGCGAACTTAAGTGGAATTGCCTTAGCAGGGACACCAATGAATTTGAGTAGAGAAGATTTAGATTTGGGTGATTTTTCTAGAGGTTATATTTGAGACTCAAGCAACACTTCGGATAATTTTTTGTAGTAATTTTACTCAGTTGTTCATCTATACTCCCATTAGCATATACCACTCTTGCATGCATTAGTACCCACTCACAACTCAATATTAGTGAGATATAACGATACTTTAGAATTAATACTCAACTTCAACTATAATTCTGATGTTGGGTACGGGATGGGAGAGATCTCAGTGTGTTTGATTGTGTTTTCTCTTGTTTTCAACACTATTCCTCTATAATCGCCTTTTTTATTAATTATTATTTTTTTATAGAAAACATAACATCAACCACCAATTTTAATTTAAAATATTAGCTTCAAGATATTTTTTATTAAAATATCACATTCAACACTTATTTATATCACATCAAATCAATTCAAAGTTTTACTACTCCTCTCATTTCTAAATTTTGGGTTGATTTACCACTTTATCCTTGGTAAAATGCCGTATGTTAGATAGTATTGTGAAGAAATGAATCGGAAAAATGACTCATTTTTGTTGTTCCACAAGATACATATATAGGAATACATAAATAAAAGAAAAAATAAATAAATAAAATAAAAAAGACAATCTAATCTAATTCCAAAATCCTAGGCAATAACCAGCCTATCGTAATCCCTAGATTTAAGATTTCAAATTAATTATTAGTAAATCTACATTAATTACACTACATAAATTTGTAAATCTATATTAATTATATTACATAAATCAAGCCATGTATTTTGACACCCCCTCAAGCTTGAGGTGAATAAATGTCTTCCATTCCCAGCTTGAATAGTAGCCTCATGAATTGCAAGCTGTAAGTCAGAAGGAATGCAAGACATGCACACCAATTCAGCATCCAGCTTTTCTATGATGAAATGTCTATCTATTTCAATGTGCTTTGTCTTCTCACGTTGCACTTGGTTATGAGCAATATTGATACCAGACTTGTTGTCTGTGTACAACTTCATAGGGCCTTTTATGTTTAACTTTCAAGTCATCTAAAATTATGTCTAGCCAAAGTAATTCATATATTCCTTGGCCAATAGCTCTGATTCAGACTCTTCTGATGACCTTGCTACAACATTTTGTAGCATGTTTTTCCATGTTACAAACTTTCCTGCAAGAAAAGTGCAAATGCCTGGAAGTTGATCTTCTATCCACTAGAAATCCAGCATAGTCTGCATCCGTGTAAGCTTCTAGAGTAAGAGAACTGTGTCTTCCTTAGCTTCACTTAATTTGAGATTCGGGTCCATGGAGAAAAGACGGGCTTGCATCCTCCTCTTACAGGTTCCATCAATAAATCAATGACATATTTTTGCTTTGATATAAAGATTCCTTGGGATGACTATGCAACTTAAATGCCAAGAAAATATTTCAGCTTTTCCAACTCTTTTATTTCAAACTCCTTTGGTAATATGCATTTTAGCTCCATTTTCTCTTTTTCATCATTTATAGGTATTAGATATATTATGAATAGGGGTACTTTTGTATTTATAATAGTATAAAGGCATTCTAGGTATTTTGCTAGTTGTATTATATAGGTTTGTGTCGTATTTTGTATTATTGAGTTTTACATCAATGAAAAATGCGATATTCTTCATGGTATCAGAGCCACTCTCGTAGCTCTAGTCCCGTCACCCACCCACCGCCTGTTGCTGCACCGACCGCGTTGCACCGCCCGCCTCCGCACTGTCGCGCTGTCATCTGCGGTCTGCGAGGCTATTCTGTCATCTGCGGCCTGCTTCCTTCTGTCATCTACGATCTGCGTCCAGTATTGAGGTTGTTCTTCCTCCTGGGTTGGGTTGTTGGATTGTTGTTTAGGATTTAAGTCACTTTTGTTATCCTGAATTGTTAGAGCTCTCTTCAATTCAAATATTACCCCAAACATGTCTATTTCTACTTCTTTTACGGGTGTTCTTTCTCTAACCCCGGTTATTGCTACCGAACGATTGGTTGGAGATTCTAACAATGGCTCTTGGTCTAAAGCTGTTCCAATGTGGTGTATAGATCAAGGTTTGGCAAATCATGTTACTCCATCCGCTCAGATTTTTGCACAGAGAAAGCAGCATGGCTGAAGGCTGATGCTTCATTATGCAGTTTGTGGAGTCTATTGATCCAAGTCTTCATCCAATTTTTACCAATTTTACAAACTGTTATGATCTCTAGAGACATGCAAAGACTATATATACCAATGATATTCAGCGCCTCTATAGTGTGATATCTAATTTGGTTAATCTTCGTCAATACGTATTGACAATTCCTGAATATCTTGGTAAATTTTCATCCATCAAGGCTAATCTCAATTCAGTTTTGCCTCCGGGGAAAACAGCTGCAGAGAAGCTTGATCAGCGTGATATATTTTATACGATGTGTGCACTAGTTGGTCTTGGTCCAGATCTAAGTCAAGTTTGCGATCAGCTTCTTTCCAGCTCGACAATTCCGACTCTTGATGATGTTTATTCTCGCTTATTAAGTGTCTCCTCCGTGGCCCATCCGATTATTAATTCCGGAGACAAGTCTGTCTACTAGCTTCACTTTTTTGCCTCTGCAAAGTGATCCTAGCTCTCGTGGGACCTCTTGTCCACGCTACATTTATTACAATAGGTGGGGCTATACTCGTGATAAATGTTTTCAACTGTATGGCCGACCACCTCGGGCTAATGTTGCGCGGGTTGAAACTCCTCATTCATCGTGCAATTTTATCACTTTGATTGGTTCCGATTATGAGGCGTATCTTGCATACCAAGCTTTAAAGCAGTCATTTCACACTGGTACCTTTCTTGGACCATGGGTCCTTGATTTTTGGTGTCTCTCATCACCTATCTGGTAATCCAAAACTGTTTTCCTAATTTTATAAGTCTACCTCATTACCTGATATTACTTTAGCTAATGGGTCACGTGTTTCTGTTAAGGTTGTCGATGATGCTAAACCATTGCCATGTGTTCTTTTATCTTCCGTTCTTTTTGTTCCTCGTTGCCCGTTTAATCTTGTTTAAACTTTGAACTGCTCAATACCATTTGATTCTGATTCCTTCTTTATTTAGGACCGCAGCACGAGGGATTGGCAAAGGACTTGAGCTCCATGGACTGTATCACCTTAACCATCCTCCACCACCTTTACTCCCAATTGCATGTTCCATCGTAAGTTCTCCTCAACTACTGCACCAACGGTTGGGTCACCCGAGTCTTTCTATGTTGTGTTGGCTTGTTCGTCTTTCTAGTTTATCGTCATTGTCTTGTGATCTTGTCAGCTAGAAAACCAATCTCGTGTTTTGTTTCCCCGGAAGGTTAATAACAGGGTTGATATGTCTTTTGCTTTAGTCTTTTATGATATATAGGGTCCATGTCGAACTACTTATGTCTATGGGTTTCAGTTCTTTGTTACTTTTGTTGATGATTTCTAAAGATGTACTTAGCTTTATTTGATGAAAGCTCGTTCTAAACTATTTTCTATCTTTGAAACATTTTACGCTGAAATTCAAAATCTTTTTAGTGTGTAACTTAAAATACTTCGAACTAACAATGTCACTGAATATTTCTCTACTCCTATGACTCGGTTTATGTTATCTCATGGTATTTGACATCAGTCCTCTTGTGCTTATACTCCTCAAAAAAATCGGTTGGCTGAACGCAAAAACCGCCACCTTATTAAGACTGCTCGTACTCTGCTTGTCCATCATCATGTTCATTTCCGGTTCGGGGCTGATGATGTACTTATTGTCTATTATCTTATTAACCGTTCGGTCCTCCATAATAAAATTCCTCATCAAAATTTGTTCCCTTACGATCCTTTATATCATTTACTCCTCCGTGTCTTTGGGTGTACAGCATTTGTTCATGATCACTTATTGGGTCGGGATAAGTTAGCCCCACGGGCGCTGAACTGTGTTTTTCTTGGCTATTCTAGGGTGAAAAGAGGTTATAAGTGTTTTTCTCCAAATATTCGTAGTTATTACTTTTCAGCCGATGTTACCTTTTTTGAGTCCATACCTTATTTTCCTACGTTATCTTCGATCCCATCTGTCAACCACGTGTCTATTCTCATTTTCTTTTGCGTCCACCTCTTCCGGTGTATAGTCGTCATCCTCGCCCGCTAGTGTCTCCTTCCGATGGTTCTACCACTTTTGTTCCTCTAGCGTCTATTGACTGTCCTGGCTCTCAAGACTTGCCATCGTCTTTTTCTCCTGCGGCTACTACCCTGCTGGATCCTGCACTGTTACGCCGAGGTACTCGTTCTTCTCGTAATCCATCCCATTTACAATTTTCTTAGTTTTAATCGTCTGTCTCCCACATACTATACCTTTATGTCAAACTTATCTTTTGTCTCCCTTCCTAAATCCCTTCGTTAAGCTTTCTTATCCAAGTTGGTGACAGGCAATGGTAGATGAAATGGCTGCTTTACATGCTAATGGTACTTGGGACTTGGTGCCTTTGCCTTTAGTTAAGTCTCCCGTAGCTTGCCGTTGGGTCTATGCAGTTACGGTTGGTTCGGATGGTCAAGTTGCTCGTCTTAAGG